CAGCGAAATGGGAGAGCAAGCCGCACCCGCCTTAGAAATCGGACGGACATTGCACAGGTGGGCGGGAATTTTCTTCCTTGAATTGAACGTTAAAGAACCGGAATTTCCGATCCATGGTTTGTTCCTTTTAACCTTGTCTTTGGATGATTTAGCAGCAATCGCCTTGACGAATCCTGGCTTAATGTTTATTTCTTGGTTGTCCAGGGCAGATTGGCGCCCGTCAAAAGAAGGAAAAAAATACTTTCGTTTTTCGTGCCTTTTACAGTTGCAAGCTCTACCCGCGCTGAATGAACGCTGCTTAATTAAAATTCTTGCAGTATAAAACTTTTTTTTTCAACTGTTAAAGTGCTATACTTAACGTCAGTCAAACTAAATGTGACTACAGTTGAAAAAGAAACCGTTCATACATGTGTAGTGCTACACCTGCCCCCATACCTCCTCCCTCACCCCCATCCCAGGCCCCAAGAAGACTTTCCACATCAAGCAGATGTTCACCTGCACATCTGCCAATGTGGTATACTGCATCCGCTGTACCCGGTGTGGCTTCCTCGACATCGGGGAAACCAAGCGGAGACTCGGGGACCGCTTTGCAGAACACCTACGCTCGGTTCGCAACAAACAACTGCACCTCCCAGTCGCGAACCATTTCAACTCCCCCTCCCATTCCTCAGACGACATGTCCATCCTGGGCCTCCTGCAGTGCCACAACATGCCACCCGAAGGTTGCAGGAACAGCAACTCATATTCCGCTTGGGAACCCTGCAGCCCAATGGTATCAATGTGGATTTCACAAGTTTCAAAATCTCCCCTTGACCTGTCCGTCCTCCCTGGACTGACCTATCCCCTTCCTAACTCCCTACCTACACTCACCTTTCCTGGCCCCATCCCCGCCTCTTCGACCTGTTTGTTTCCTCTCCTCTATCCCTCTTCTATCCGCCTCCCACTCTCTCCCTATTTATTTCAAAACCCCCTTCCCCTCCCCCTTTTCTGATGAAGGGTCTAGGCCCGAAACGTCAGCCTCTCTGCTCCTATGATGCTGCTTGGCCTGCTGTGTTCATCCAGCCCTGCACCTTGTTGTCTCGTTCATACATGTGTATATCAGTAAGCTAGGGTTGATCAGCTTAGTAGTGGTATCATTCTCCGATTCCAAGTTGTGGGTTCAAGCCACAGATTTGAGGGCATAATTTAGACTGACTTTAGGTTTGTATGGTGTGTACTTTGTTACAATAAAATGGTATTTTTGGAGGAGGGTTTTTTCAAATCGACCTGTTTCATAGCAGGTGGGACAAGAACCCAGACCTTCTGGCCTAGAGGAACTACCCCCTGCAGCACCCTTGAAATAGGTATTAAATGAAAATCACATTGCACTCTATTGGACAGAACTGATCTCCTTACATTTTTTCTGAAGATTGGAATGTCCTGTCACTGCCACAGCATATAATGATACATTGCCACTTGATCAATTTCAATTAATCAGCCTTTTTCCTATTTTAAAGCTAATACAGCAGCAGCATCCAAGTATGATTATTTTATTACTTTAATAATACAACAGTATTTAAAATTGGAACAATTTGATTCAGAAAATCTAAAAATGCAAAGGGTAAATACATTGTTATTAGAAGTTCAATCAGTTTGCTCAGTGTTTTCTGTTTTTTGTTGTTTGTGACCATTTTGTCTTTCTTTTGTGCTTTAATTTATCTTATTCATTTTGCAATCTCTTTTTCTCAATGAGCTCATCACAGAAAGAGAATGGATAACGTGCAAGTAACAACCAAAGCTTAATTTAGGCTTGTTAAATGCATATTTTTGCATAAGATATTGATCAATGCCTGTTGCAGGAAGATCCAAGTAGATGTGATAAGAATAATGACATTCTCATTCAATGTCAAAATAATTCCACATCTTGTGGTGCACTCCTGTAATTGGAATATGAGTACTGATGATTATATTGTTTTCACAAAGCACATTTAACTTCTGTCATAGCAGGGGTGCTGTCACCTTTTCAGAATTTACATATGTTTGCTTTAATGTTGCAGGTATTTGTTAGATGTTTTAAAAATGCTCCTAGCTTATTTTTGGTATTTGGATATACTTTGGCTAGAGGAGTTATTTTCTTTGCTGGGGCTCAGATATGGTCCAATTATTTACTCTGTCTGAATTCAACACCAACAGCAGTGGCAAAACAGCAATCAATGAATCATGAGTATGTACTTCAAAATTTGTGGTCATGAGTTTTGTTTCTGTGTTGTTCCTGGTAGGCAGCCTACCTAAAGATTTGAATGGGCTACTTGAATGCTCAGTTGCCCTGCGGCTGAGGAAAGCAATGGCTTCCTCAGCAGAGCATGCTGTCAAGTGAAACATTTGCAGTTCACTCTCAATATCTCTGACTGGGCTGGCAGGGGAGAGGAGGGGCACACTACTTGAACTGACCATTCATGGGATATCAATGAACTGACTAATGTTTCCTTGTTTATATTGCAGTGCAATTTTTAAAGCTGATACTGCAATTAGAGATTATCAAAATAGCAAAAAGAAAACACAATTTTTGTTTCACTGTGTCAGACCTGTTTGTGCTTGAGCTGTATAATATCCAAGAGGCCTATCTATCCAAGTTTTCTTGATGAATGTTGTTAGTGGTGAGTAAAAGGCAATGTGATCAAAAAAATCCTCTAAATTTTATTAAAATGGGAATGACAGCTAGCTATCAGCTGGATGGCATTACTTTTTCCTTGTCCTCAAAGCACTTAAATGATAGCCTACCGTTGTTTTAATAAGGCCTTTAGCAACATTTTCCTGCACTGACTGTACTGGATGATTTTTTTAAAAAAAATTTGTTCATGGGACATCTGTGTTGCTGGTTAGGCCGGCATTTATTGCTTGTGCGTAATGACCCCTGTGAAGATGGTGAGCCACCTTGTTGAACTGCAACAGTCCTTGAAGTGTAGGGACACCCACATTGCTGTTAGGATGGGAGATCTAGGATTAGACCCAGTGACATTAATATATGGTGATATGGTTTAAAATCAGAATGGTTCATGGCTTGGAGGACACCTTCCCGGTGGCAGTGTTTCCACGTATCTGCTGATCTTGCCTTTCTAGATGTTGGAGGTACCAGGTCTGGAAGATTGTGTTGAAGGAACCTTGTGATTTGCTGATGGTGTATACAGCTGCCTGGGTGTCTGGAGTGGAGGAAATGAATGGATGAAGTGCCAGTCGAGGAGGCTGTGTTGTCTTGGGGGAAAGTGGAGCGTGTTCATTCCCAACCCTGACTTGTCTTGTCAGTGGACAGGCTTTGTGGAGTTAGGAGTTGAAATATTTTCCAGAGATTTTCCCAGTCCTTGATTTGCTCTTACAGCCTCAGTGTTCATATGGCCAGTTCTGTTAATGGTAATCCCCAGGAGGTTTATTGTGTGGGATTCACTGGTAATGCTATTGAATGTTAAGGAAGAATGGTTCGACTCTCTTAGTGGAGATGCTTACTGCCTGGCGCTTTATGGTGCAAATGTTACTTGCCATTTGTTAGACCAAACCGTTGTCTAGCCTAGGTCTTGCTGTATCTGGACGTGGATGACTTCTATATCTGAAATGTTGCAAATGGTACCAAACACTCTGCATCAGCAAACATCCCCGACTTCTGACTTTGAGGGGAAGTTCATTGGCAAAGCAGCTGAAGATGCTTGATAGCACTGTTGTTGACTGTCTTTCCATCCCATCACAGAGTTCAGCATAGACTGGTAAGGCAGTAGTTAACTGAGTTAGATTTGTCCTGCTTTTTGTGGATAGGACATACCTGGATAATATTTAACATTTCTGGGTCACTGCCTTCGGAGCTGTACTGGAACAGCTTGGCTTAGGGCATGGCTGTTCTGGAGAAGGCCTTTCATATTATTGCAGGAATATTGTGAGAGCCAATATACCTTCAGCTGTTTCTTGTATCAGATGGAGTGAATTGCATTGGTTGGTCTGTCATCAGTGATGTAGGTGACCTTAGGAGGAGATAGAGATGGATCTCGGCATTTCTGGCTGAGCATAGTGATATTTGTGGACCCTTCTCCAGTTGTTCAACTGTCCAGCACCACTCGTGACTGCATGTAGCAAGACTACAGCCTTCAATTGGATCAGTTTCTGATGGGTTCACTTAGATCATAAGACATAGAAGCAGAAGTAGGCATTTGGCTCATTGAGTCTGCTCTGCCATTCAGTGAGATCACAGCTGATCTGATAGTCCTCAACTCTATTTTACTGTCTTTTCCCCATAACTTTGATTCCTTTACTGATTACAAATCTGTCTATCTCAGGCTTCAGTATACTTGATGAACCGACCTCGATGGCTCTCTGTGGTGAAGAATTCCACTGATTCACGACACTGAGAAAAAAAAGTTCTCTTCATCTCTATCATAATGGGTGATCCTCACTCTGAGATTATGCCCTCTAGACCTAGGTTCTCCTACAAGGGGAAACAAGCTCTCCATGTCTACCCTGTCAAGTCCCTTAAGAATCTTATACATTTCAACAAGTTTGCCTTTCATTCTTTTAAGCTCCAATGAGTCGTATTCAAGCATACTCAACTTTTCTTCATAAGACAATCCCTCCATACATCGGGATCAACCTAATAAACCTTCTAGATTGCTTCCAATGCCAGTGCGTTGTTCCTTAAGGATCAGAACTGTTCACAGCATTACAGGTGTGGTCTAGCGTCTTGTATAACTTCAAGACTTTCTTATTTTTGTACCCCATTCCCTTTGAGATAAAGGCCAGT